GGAACGTCCAGAAAAGATAAGCACTTATTCTCTTCCATTTCCATCGAGTCCCATTTTGCAGCCAGTTTTTCCTAATGTTATAATTAAAAGCCCTAGACTTTAATAATCTGGCACGGTCGTTTATTAGCATATCCTAGAAAATCATGACATAACCTCGCTTTAGATGCGACGACATTGTCGACAGGATTTGTGGTCCTGGGGAACCAAGTTTAAAGTAGCAAGTTACATCACACGACAAAGATCTGGAATCCTAAAAATACTTATTTCTATGACCTAATAGTCATTTTGGTACATTTTATTTTTTACGCAATTGTCTTTTTATGCTATGCCAATAGAAATGCTAACCAATATTTTGTGAAACTATTATCAATTTTAGAATTAAGTCTTGTTTTCGTCACTACCATTAAATCAGTAATATGAAATGTATTAACCCAATTTCGTTTAAGGTGATGAAGGACTGGTGGAAGAAGAATTTTTCCACAATGATATGAGTTGAGCTGACGTTTTCATCGAATTTCATATAGCCTTGCTTTTCCTAAATTTGTTCTCATTCAGGCGCCAGTGGACTGCAGTTTCGACTTCGCATCGGTCTTATCAACAAGCTGTTCAACTCCGGCTGAGGGCGTTGATAAGACCGATATGAGGTCGAAACTACAGTCCACTGGTGCTTGGATAAGAACAACTTTTGGGAAAGCAAGGCTATGTGAAATTCAATGAAAACGTCAGCTCAACTGATATCAATGTGGGAAAATTTTTCTTCTATCAGTCCTTCATCACCTTAAACGAAATTGGGTGAATACATTTCATAATACTGATTCACTGGCAGTCACGATAACAATGCTTACTTTGAAAAATGATAATAGTTTAACAGACTATTGGTTAGCATTTCTATTGGTATAGCATAAAAAGACAATTGTGTAAAAAATAAAATGTACCAAAATGACTATTTGGTAATAAAAATAAGTTTGCATCCACTCCGAATGGTTATTGTAGACTCATTGAGCACATGCTGATCTTACCTAGACATAATTCTCTGTTTTTTATTTGTTTTGTCTCCCCTTGCTCTTTGTCTATCCCCGCTAAAGGTGGCTCAGTTCAACCAGTTCATCAACGGCTCCAAAGAGCCTGACACGCGTATCTACCGTAGTTGCAGTCACGTGAAAGCCGCGCCTGGCTACGAATGCATCAACCGAGTGGGCGCATCTAAACTGAAGATGCGCTACTGCCTTTGTACTGATGAACTTTGCAATTCTTCGCCGCCACGCAATGTCGCTACCGTCGGCAGTTTTCTCATGCTGGCCGCAGTCACGGTGACTGGACTAAGATATCAGAATACATTTTGACTGGCTCTCGCCTCGTGTTGCTTCAGAGCCGGCACATGCTCAAGATGTACCAGAGGCTCTTTCATAATAGCTTTTTAATGCATAGCTCTAGAATTGGCTTCCTGCAGCCTCTCCTCCCTCGACCAACCCTTCATCTCCAAGCAACAAGTCTCATTCATACTCGCGAACTTTGTGACTTGAAGAGGACAGGCTCAAGCCACGTAGTCATTCTTTCCCTTTCATACAGAATACAATTCAGCCACTCATATACATCTCCGCCTCCACCTGGACCCCTTGAACCCATTCGGATCCATTAATCAAGCAGGCCCGCAATTGCAATCAACCGAGGTTTACTGGATAACCTCTGCCAACAAGTCTTTCCTGCTGGCTTCCAGAAGATCAGAAATGAGTGCAGTCACAACCCCGTAACCCCCCTTGCCTGGTAGATTATCCACACAAATTGCCTTGTATGGTCTGGGTGCAAGTTTAGTGTCAAATAAACCTATAGATAGATGTGTAAAATTATGCCTATATGGACGGACCTGCGATGCTGCAATCTTAGTGCCATACCTGAGGCCTCGATTTCATCTTAAGTAGACTACAGTCAAGGGGCAAGATTATGTTCACTTCTCTTGCAGACCGCAATCCGTGGTCCTTTTAGGCTGGGCATATTGCACGTCTTTCTTAGGTTTATTCAGTCATACTGTGTTTTGTAAATAATTCGTATTAGCCCTGCGCAAGCCGTTCTGCAATAGACATTACTTCGGTCGAAAATCGGAAAACTTCAGCTTTTGCATGCTCTTATCATGATAAAGGCATTTTTCAATAATGTTAGAAAATAAATAAATTTAGACAAAACATATTCAGACCTTATTCTGTGGTTCAAATTAACTTTCAAAATAAAGAGCTTTACTGATAAATCATGCATTGAATTTCGTGAAATAGGAAGAGGTGGAAACATTAACTTAAGTGGCCCCTTCGCCCGTATCAAGCACCAAAATTTGCTATGATTGTATTAGATGAAATGAAATAATAGCCATGCTATGCTAGGAGACTTTCTTTAGCTTTCGTCTTTAGATTAGCTATCTATATATACGAATTTCCTAATAGAAAAGGTGTGAATCGTGAGGGTGATGTTCCGCATTTAGGGTAATAATCGTCTTTGTAAACAAAAAAGGCTATGGAGTTTTACCCCTTAATCCGCATATCTACGGTTCGAATCCCGTAAAGGCTGCTAATCAAGAAGTAGAGCACTGCCATTACTCCAGTCCAGGCTTGAGGTGGCAGCAGAAGTATTGGATCCACAGCAAAGTGGTATTAGAAATACGATTTGAAACTGGCTATTGTATGCGCTTACGTGCTTGCGTGTGCCCACGAGTATCGGAACAAGCCAAAATATGTGCATCCCTACCGTTCAGCTCGTGATTCTTTCCAATACCTTCATCGTGGACTATGGGCTTAAGGTGAGGAATAAAGAATCGTACAAAGGAGTATACTTTTAATGAATAGGTCTCTAGATAATAGTCTCCATGGTTTCCCAAATGCAAAAATATACCGTTCGACTTATGATTTTTATAAACTGTCTTCCAGGAAAAGCAGTGCTTTGGATTTTCTGTATAATGAGACAATAAATTAAATTTATTTAATCGAAGATTACCGAGTCTCAAAACATATTCAGATAAGTAAACTCGTCAATTGTTCTAGCAACTATATGTATGTTTCTTCAAAATCCCATTATAGTTGCGATTTTCTGAAGGTCTGGCTCGACTTTAAAGTCATTGATGCCTTATAATTAACTTAAACCTAAGGCTGCGTAGAGTGATAGTAACGGGTCGCACGATGAGCACGATCCAGATTAGAATCCCCTTGATGTTGATGATGAGTCATTGGCGAGGTCTAAACTTGAATCAAGCGTGGAAGAGAAGATATTTTTGGAGTCAATGCCAAGTAAAATGCGTTTGCTACATGCGAAAAAGCTACATTTTCATTTTTTAATTCCATTTAATCTTAGTTAATAATTGTCAATAGTTTCAAAATATTATAGATGTGAGTACAAGTTGAATAGGAGCAGAGAAGTTATAGGTTGGAAATTATTTTTGTCTTAAATGTTCTAGACTAGGCAAGGG